ATTTGCAGCAATTTGTTTCAGCAGCAACAGGACGCTAATACATCCTCCTCTTGCCCGAGCCCCTTACCCCGTGGACTCTCCCATCTCAAGCAATTCTGCTCTGGCCCCAAACCTGCACAGCTCACCCAGCTAAGGTGCAAGCCCTGCAGTTGCCCCAACCCACCCTCCTCAAAAGGCAGTTCAGCAGCTGTCCGCTGTTATGCAAGGATATAGCCCTTGACAAGAGGGCTCGATCCCCAGCAGCCTGTGCTCGCATGTTTCACAGTCTGGCCCAGAGGCAGAGACACACTCATGCACACGGTGCAGTGCTCTGAGAGTATCCTGCTCAGAGCTCTGAAAGCAAAGGGGAGGGGAGCCCAGACGGGATAGGAGAGCTCAGGGAAAGCTTTCTGAAAGAGGTGGCACTGAGCTGAGTTTTGAAGGGCATGTAGGCAATCATCAAGTGAAAGGAAGCAAAGGACAGTGAGTCCAAGGAAAGAGAAACTCAGAGACAAGATAGAGACAGGGGAGACAGAGAGACACCGCAAACTGGAGAGGCAGAGAGAAAGGCACAGAGAAAGAGGCAGAGAAGAGCTGACTGTGTCGGGTGGCCGCTCCCAGCCCAGCCTCCCTCCGGTTCTGGGACAGAAAATAGCCTGGCTGACCCGTGGTGTGCAAAGCATTTCCTGTGCAGCCCTGGGGACCCCTGAGCTGTACTTTCTCAGGGGTGGGGCTGGCTGCGAGGGGGGCAGTGAGGGCAGAGGAGGAGGGGACAAGAAGTCCTGGGCCTGCATCAACTGTCCGGGACAAGAGTGGCTGAAGATGGGAAGGAAGTGGCATGCATATGTCAGGGTCCACATGTGTGCATGAGGGCTCCCAGGGTGTGGGCGAGGATGTGGCTAATCCCTGGGTTCTAGGTCTCTTCGTGGAAAGTGAAGGCTGGATGAACAGACAGCAGGTCCTGGTGGACACCTCCCTGTCCTATGTCCCAGGGTGAAAGGCAGCTCTGAGAGCCTTCTTGAGGACACAAGCCATCCCCTCTGGGAATCCACCAGTTTCAACGTTCTAGGAGCAGCTCCCAGTTGACTCTGTCCTGCCTGCTCCCCAAGGGCACCACCTCTGTGTGCTCCCTTCAGGGGTCAATGCCCTGGTCTCAACTTTGGCTGGGGGAAGGAGTGATTCATCCAGAACCTTCTCTGAGGACCTTTACCAGGGAACAGGAGGAGAGGTCGGGGGACAGTGAGGCCTAGCTCCCAGAACCCAGAACATCTCACTGTGCAAGACATCTTCCTCTGGGGGAGATACCAAACATCCAGCAGCGACTTCAGCCTAGACCCTCTCCCACGCTCCTCACTGGGTACCTGTCCCCACGAGCCCAAGGCTGTTTTTCAGACTCTCTTGAAACCAGCTCTCCATTCTACCTTTATGCAGTTTAATATTTTACCCTCTACCCCTGCTAGATTTTTATCATTCCAGCGCATGGAGATGTCTTTGAATGGAGAGCACACTTTCTTCCTGTTTGATGGACCTGCTTTGCGAAACATTCGAGCAGAGCCTGGGCAGCCATCAGCTGAGCTGCGCTGCCACAGAGGAGATTCCTGCCTGGGAGGGAGGCAGAGGTTTGGTTTTCAGCTGGGCAGCTATGCACACCGCAGGAGGTCATCCAGGGGAAACAAGGTAGTTCCTCACTCTCTTGGGTCTGAGTTCTCAGCCAGGATTACTTTCTCTGACCTTTTGGCTCAAATTCTGACACACCTAACAACCAGCCAGGACCTTTGATTGCACCGTGTTGGGACCCATGAAGCTCATCCCAAAAAACCACAGAAGAGATGCTAGGCTGGACCTACCCTGGCTTCATCTGGCCAGTCCAAGCTGCTTCCTGGCCCCAGTGGGACTGCTCCCCTGGCAGATCAGTGGTGCCATCGTCCCAGCCCTCCCAAAAGGAGAGTAATGAACACCTGGCCTAAGGAAACGGAACTAACATTTGTCGAGCACCCACCATGTATCTCCTGTAATTAACATGCCAACCCTTCTAAGGGGGAATTCCTGTTCTGGTGAAGAAGGCATTTCCAGAGGAGGCTAAGTGAGGACTCAGAGTCAAGTTGAGTCGGACACATGGAAGGGACCGTGTCTTCTCCTCCTAGCCTCCCTCCACAAGAGGAAGGTTGGGCACGGGGGCATACACAGGAGGCAGGCTCCTGGAGAAAAGGAGGCCAGTGCAAGATGCGCATTCCCCGGCCCAGCTCCCAGGACTGGGTCGGAACCTCAGGGAGAGGGAGGGGGCACTACTAGCCAGGAAACTGCCTTTCCTTGGGGGTTATGTGAGAGAAGGCTCACAAGCCCCTCTGTTTTGGGGCCCGGTGCCCAAGTATGATTTGGATTTGGTGAGAGAACCCTTCTCCCTGCTTCTTCATACAATTCCCGTGGCTCCAGTCCAGCAAGGACTGAGGGAAACATGATGCCACCTGGCACCCTATCATAGGCTTGAGGGCACCGGGGCGGCACTGGGTTTGGGATAAGGGTCCCTGTAGCCCTTCTGTGGCTCGCAGACCAGGGCCACTCATGCAATAGCCAACTATGAAGACGTGTGATGTACCCTGCGGACTCTGTGAGTAGGGAGAAGCCTGGGGTCCTCACGACGGGGAGCTATGAGGCAGCAAAGGTGGGGCCTTAACGTCAACAATTTCATTTGTAGCTGCAGGTTGGTGAAGCCAGGGAAAGCCGTCTCTCACGAACTTTTAGTTAGGGATGTCAATCAAGCTCAAAGAGGCCAAGTCGGTCGCGGAGGTGGTAGAGCCAGCACCACACCTGGGTCCCTGGCTCCACAGCCATGATCCTTCCAGGACCCCTGATGCCCACTCCAATGCCAAGGTCCCAGAAATCCTCTCGGCCATCCCACCCCACTTCCCTTCCTGAGGCCGCCACACCTGTGCTGAGCCTTCGCAGCAGCAGAGACGGCTGGGGCCACCTTGTGAACCCCTGCCCCCTCATCGAGCCTCCTAAGAAACCGCCTGCCTTCTCTGGGAACTTTGGCCCCGTTCCCCGGGCCACTGCAGAATCAGCCACGTTCTCACCTAACACTTGCCCTTTCAAGGGACGGGTGCCTGGGCCAGTGTGCTTCCTCTCTGGATTTCTGAGTTTGGAAACCAAGGATCGCGGTGAGTCCTATGAGAGAACCTGCCATATACCAGACTTGGGCGTTCTCGGCAGCCGTGTTGCTCCATGTGGGAGAAGCGCGTACGCAGAGAGAGGTTGGAACCACCACAGAGAGAGACACAGAGGTGAGAGGCGCAGAGAAAGTACTGGTGACCTTCACGGCTGCCACCGAAGCTGCTCTACAAACTAGGAAGGTCTTCTTTTTGCCTGAAGAGCCTGACGCTGGACCTCGGTGACTGGCCGACAGCACTGTCCAGCCCCCACGTCGTGCCCTTTCCCATCCACCCCAGGAGAGGCAGGACCAAGCAGCAGCACCAGGGAGGAGGAAAGCGGCAGGGGGCCCCAGCCGGGCCAACCCTTGGGCTTCTCCCGACAGTGGCACGGGCAGCGCGTTGTTTGTTCTGGCTTGAGACGCCTCCCCAGATACCCCCACCGCTCAGCCGGCAGCCGAGCGAGGCCGAGGCAGGAATGGGCGGTAGAGGCAGTTCTAGTGTCTCCGGAAACCTGATGCCTGCGGACCACCGCTCTAACGACAACTTCATGAGGACAGAGAGGGAAAGAGGAGAGGTCAGGTGGGGGACAGGAGAACAGCTCATTCTGTGCTGGGGTGGGAGGGACCCCAGACCTGGGTGGGGAAAGGGGTCAACAGGAGCAAAGATGGCCGCCTGGCACCCACTCAGACCTCCAGTGTGGCCTTGAGTCAGTCAGTTCTCTTTCCTTTCCCTCAGGGCACCTCCCGCCCACCCTCCGCGAAACACACAATGGGAGCCGAACAGACTCTGAGCTAGAGAACCCTGATCTCTCCCAGCTTGGCCTCCCACCAGACCCACCCCTGACCTTAGCACCTGCCAAGCTCCTCTGAATTCTATTTGCTGTGACTGTGTACCCGTTCGGGGTGGGCAAGCCCACGGGGCCAACACTGGTGGCCTCAGTTGCCAGGCCTGCTGGGACTCTGCTGTTGGTGCAGGCTGAGGGGAAAGGACAGGAAGCCAGGACCTGAGCAGGGAGGCTGAGCTACTCCAAGGCAAGACCCAGCCCGATGCTGATGTCTTTAGGCCAGTTTGATCCTCAAAGCAGACAGACTCTGGAACTGGCGTTTTTAGGAGATGTCTGTGTTCTGAGCAGGATCCCAGTCCACTGCTTAGGAGCATGGAAACCAGCCCAGCCCCTCAGAGGAGAAAGGCAGAAGGGTAAGGAGACACGAACGAGCCCACTCAGGGCGTCAGGAAGTAAAGAAGGGCGTATAAACTGTATAAACTGGAAAAGCAGAGCTGGAGCCAGACAGCCAAGGTCCAGGGGTGCCCAGGACTCACACACACCAGGCTGTTGGCAACGAAGCTGATTCCAGAGCCCCGCAGTCTGCCGAGGCTGCTTGGTGGGATTGGCCCCTGCAGCTAAGCAAAAAGTAAGATGAGACTGAGTCACACGCAGGACTGCACCTGGGAGGAGGTGGTGTCCTCGCCGGCCACGTGAATGGCCCTGCTTCCTACACCAGGGGTGGCAAGAGAGTCCAGATAAAGAGTCTTATGGCGGTTGTGGCTCCCCGGGGCCTAAGTAGCCACAACTCACACCTGCGTGGCGGCCGTGGCGCACAGCGCAACCTGTCCGTAAGGGCTGGAGATGACCCAAATCTGGAGCACAGGGCCCACTTGGGCAGCTTTCTCAGCCCAGCCTCAGAAGCCCCTGGCATGAGAGAGTCCAAGTAGGAGCGAGCCAATATTTGCCTCAAAGCCTCTCTCTCCCACTAATTTATCTCCTCCTCCTTCTCCGATTCTGTGGTATAGCACACCCTCCAGCTCAGGGCTGTCCAGTAGCACATTCCACAGTGATATCCGGTACAGGAGCTACCAGCTATATGTGGCTAGTAAGGAAGCGAATGTGTGGTTTTAATTCATTACTTTGTACTTGTCATCGTTGCCCACGGCTAGTGGCCACCATATGTGACAGCGGAGTCTTGGCTCTTGCACATGGCAGGGCAGTAAAACCTTCTGAGATCCGAGCATTTCACCACGTCTGTGTGCCGGGAGCGATCAGAAATGGCTCTCTGTTCAGGGTAGGGCTGAAGTGACAGGGACAAGAGGGAAAGGGAAAGAAAAGAAAGGCGTGTACCTATTACCTTATTTCTTCCTCACAGAAACCATGCCAAGGAAATACGATCATCCCCACCCTAGGCATGAAAGACACTGAGGCTCAGACAGGTCAGGTCTAATAACCTGCCTCGGGTGACCCAGTTAGTTAAGGCCAGAGGAAAGGTCTGACCCTAAGTGTCTGGCCTCAAAGCCCCTGGTTTTCCACCTCATCACACAGCTGAGGAACAAAGTGCCCCTTCCTGGCGCTGACGGGTCAGAGCGGGGCAGGGCAAGGCCAAGGGCTGCCCACGGTCCCCTAACCTGCCTCTTCCTGAGCTCAGGCTGCCCTGTTACGACTTCATGCTATGACCTGAGGTGACTTTGTAGAACTCAGGCACACCCAGGGTCCCACATAAGGCCAAAGGCACATGGCCAAAGACAAATGATCTGCTTCTGTGCCATCCATGAGTGTGGATAATTAACAGTTGATTTGATATTCTTGGCTTAGGGGAAGGCAGAGCTGTGCTTTGTCCGGGCTGTTATTAAAATACCTCTTCACCTTCCCCCTGCACATGCTGGTCTGCTCACTTGCAGCTGGGCCAGACGGGGGGTCAGAAGTGAGCTGGAAGGGAAGGAGATGAGGGTGGGGAAGGGACTAACATTTCTTAGACATCTCATTTTGTGCCAGGCACCAAGCTAAGAACTTCGACAGACCGTCTCGAGTACTGATCATCCGTACGGGGTGGTGACGACTATTCTCAGTTTATAGGAGCAGGCCTGAGGCACAGACAGGCGGGGCGACCTGCCCAAAGTCACACAGGTGATGGGGTAGAGTGCAACTTCAAAATCTAGGTCTGCCTGACTCCCAGCCCGTTTTAGATCACACTGGCTCTTGGCAGAGATCTGGAAAACCCAGCACTGCTGATAAAGGGCCTCAATTCCTCTCCAGCTCTGCCTGGCACCATGCCCGAAGCCAGGCTCCTGCTGCAGGCATCTATCCCTTCTCCCAGAAGTTCAGGCTCCCATGAACAGAGGCAGCCCCCAGCCCCCAACCCCATTGTGCAGTCAGTGACAATGAGAGGCAGGCGTCCCCTTCTTACCCACCGTTTTCCTCCCCACCCCACGGGGTGCTGCCAGTTCGGCACAATAGTGCATTCTGTGTCCAAGAGCCTCCGCTGGCGGCCCCCCGGCTTGCGCAGCCCCTCCAGACAATGGCAGGGCCCAAAAGGCCTGATAGCCGGTGACAAATGTATGTGAATGACCAGCTCACAGGAAGTGGCCTTCAATAGTCCGATAGCTTCCTGTATCCTGACATTGTGAAGGCCCACTTCCTGTGCTGTCTCCGAAAATACAGCTCGGCAAGGCTGGGGGCGGGGGTAGCGGTAGAGCTTCTCTGTCTGCCCCCCCCCCGGGGGGCCCGGGCAGGATTCAATTCTCCCCCCCACCCAGAAGGTCACCCATCTCACCTCATTTCTGATTCAAGGGTGCATTCTCTGCTGCCCTCTAACCAGTTCCTCCACCTCCTGGCCAAACCCCACCCAAGCCCAGGCAGAACAAAATGACCTATTTTTAAAGATTGCATGGCCTTCCTCAGTAACAGCCCCCCACCCCCCAATTCCAGGATCTCAGGCCTCTGCTGGGAAAGACTTTCCCGGGTCTCCTCACCTTCCTCTGGTGCACACTGAACACAGTTCTACTCCAAACGATAACCTTCAATAGTCTTACAAATGCTCCTTCAGTCACCCCTTCAACCTTCTCTTCCCAGGGTGGACGGTCACGATTCCTTCGGCTTCCTCTGTGTCACAAAAAGCCCAGGGCAGCAAGAGAGCGGGGAGGCCTCCTCTCCCTCCAGGCTCCAGCTAGACTCGAGAAAAGCTTTTCCCTGGGCGTACCTCCCCACACACCTTGGCTCCCCACAGAGGTTGATCAGGGAGAGCGAGACAGGGGCAACTAGGAGTGAATGCACCTGGGCATCTTCGGCAGTCAGGCACTAGGCAAAGAGCTTTTCCCTCCACTACCTGCTGACACTGGTAGTAGAGCCTCATATTCAGGACAAGGAGAAGTTAAGCCATTGGCCCCGGGTCCCCCAGCTACTGAGAGCTGGAGCCATACTACCCCCAGCCTCGCTTGGCAGAGGGAGACAGGTTGCGGTCTAAGGCAATGGGGAAGGTACCACTCACCCCCTCCTCTCACACACCCTCTGAGGACTTGCGCCCCATATCCCCGACATTGGAAGTCCTCCCCCAGCTTCCTGGCACTGGTGAAGCAACGCTAGGGAGGGCAGGGGGCTGCACCACCCCGCCAGCAGCCTGCCTCTGAGTATTGTTTTCCACTGTCGATAAAGGAGGCACTGAATCAGCCTCAGGCCATTGTGGTTGCCTGCGGGGGGGGGGGGGGGGAGGGAGGCAGGACAGGTCAAAGGGTGACAACCCATTCATTCATTCCCCCCTGGCCACTGGAGACCTGAGAGCTACAGCTCAGCTGCTGAGGAGTCCCAGGCCCACAGTGTCCAGGAATGGGGAGAACTAAGAGGTCTCTGGGGATGGAAAGGAGGGGAGAAAGCCCTCACCAATTTTCCCACCCTCCGCCCTCCCCTGTCCCAGGAGAAGAAAGGCCAAGGGCACAGTGAAATCAGGAGGGACAGCCAGCTTCCCTGGGGTAGAAAAGAACTCGGAAGCCAGAGACCTGGGCTTAAGTACCATTTCCTTCACCTGTGACTTCGAGGGTGGCTTAGCCTCTGAGTCTCAGATTCTACCTCCTTTCCCTGGAGATGACCCCTGCCCTGCAGGCAGTTTGGGAGGATTAAGTGAGATATGGTGAACCACCCAGCCCAACCACTATTCTTCTTCGCCTGCAGGAGCTCAGCAAGCAAGCCTGTTTCCTTCTTCTTGGCTGGGATTTGTCTGCCTCAGGTGCCTGAGATGAAAAAAGGTCTGCAGGAGAAACAGGGTGGCTGTCCGCTAGCTCTTTTCCAAGAAGCCGGGAACATCGCAATCCCGGGACTCATGGATTTAGCTGGGCAGGAGGTGGCTGGCAGCCTGTCCTGAAGCATCCGTCACCCCTGCCCCCACTGCTGGCTCTGCCCAGGGCTGCAGAACCTGGAGGGACACACCGAGGGCTGGGGGAGGGCAGTGCACCATCAGAGGCCCCTAAAATATTCGTTAGTCCACCTAATGGGGCTGCATGAAAAGTGACGCAGAGGTGGGCTCCAGGCCAAGGCAAGGTGCTGGCTTGTTATCTGTGGCCAATTCTGAATCCCAGCAAACATCTGAGTCACTTTCCCACCCTGCTCAGCTTTTATCAAAAAAACACACGAGCTCAAAGGAAAAAGTCTTTATGGGAATATCAGTGTGAACCTACCCAATCAGGCAGGTGGGTTTTTTCTGGAAAAAAAATATTTCTGGAAAAATAATAGAAGGGATACTCGGATTCTCTGTGCCTTTCCACCACTCCCTACCTGAAAGGGTACTACTGTGAGTTGCAGAGCTCACCTAAAACAAGGGCAGCTGAATGATCCCCGCAAAGCCAGCCCCCACTGCGAGAGCCTGGGGCCACGGCCCAGCCTGGAGCGGCTGCCTTGAGGCGGAAGGGCGTCCAGGCTCTGATAAGGCAGGGGAAGGACAGGACCCGTGCCTGGGGCCCGCTGACTGTTCCTTCACCCCGGAGACCACAGGGATAATCAGCTCACAGAGTCTTCCGGCCCCAGGCATTTAGTTCCTACCCTAAGGCTTCTTGGGGAGGGGAGTCGGGGGAAGCCAGCACCAGCTTCACCCAGGACCAGGGCAGCACCAGAGCCCAGCGGGGCCCCGCCTCAGGGGGCTGGGTACCCCCTGCCCAAGGCTCTCCCCCGTGGCAGAAGCAGCCTCTTCTGCACCGCTGCCCTACTCTCCTGTTACAGGCTCAATTGTGTCCCCTCAAAATTCCTATGTTAAAGCCATGACCCCCAGTACATCACACTGGGACTGTATTCGGAGATAAGGCCTTTAACGAGGTGATTAAATTAGATGAGGCCATTAGAGTGGGCCCTAATCCAACCTTTCTAAGAATAGGAGATTTGGACACAAAAGACCTCAGGGAGCTGTCACAGGCACAGAGGGACCACCGTGTGAAGAGTAGCAGTGGGCAGCTACCCCCAAGTCAAGGAGAGAGACCGCAGAGGGAGCCAACCCTGCTGGCCCCTGATCTCAGACTTGCGGCCCTAGGCCACCTGGCCTGTGGCTCTGTGTTGCAGCAACCCTCCCCTGGGCTGGGGGATCAGGAGGAGGGTTCTGGGGGGGGCTTCCTCCTCATACACCACCAGCTGGGCTGCTGCAACAATAACCCCGGCAGGCCCCCTTCAGGTTGGCCCTAGCCCTCGGATGCCCAGCTTCTACAGCCCCCTCCAGAAACCTCCATCTGCCCGCAGGCCAATCAGTGAGCTGACCAAGGCAAGGCTGTGTGGGTGTTGGGGCCTCAGCTGGAGCCGGGGGAATGCCTCGAGATGCCAAGGGACTGGGGGAGTGGGGGAGGCAGGGAGCAGAGACGCATCCAATGGCAAAGCCGAAGGGCCTCAGGGCTGAGGATCAGGACGCCCCCCGCCACAGCATCACTGTAGTCCTGTTTCCTCTCTACACTCCCTCTTGCAGCCCGGAGAGAGAACAGGGTCTTGAGGCAAGAGTACCTGCATGGAATGGAAAAACTACCAATCAAAATAAATACCTTTCCGGGGCACCTGGGTGGCTCAGTCGTTAAGCGTCTGCCTTCGGCTCAGGTCATGATCCCAGGGTCCTGGGATCGAGCCCCGCATTGGGCTCCCTGCTCGGCGGGAAGCCTGCTTCTCCCTCTCCCACTCCCCCTGCTTGTGTTCCTGCTCTGGCTCTCTCTGTCAAATAAATAAATAAAATCTTTAAAAATAATAATAACTACCTTTTCCCAAGCGCTATCAGTGAGTCTCTGTTCCAAACACCTTGCATGTTGTCCCTTAGTCTTCACAATAACCCTCCGAAGCAAGTCCCATATTAGCCCATCTGACACATGGGATTGAACCCAAGAAGCCAAGCAGCTTGGCAGAGGCCTCAGAGCTATACGGGGCAGTGCTGGGCTTTGAACCCAAACAGCCTAACTCCAGAGCTGAGTTTCTTGGAGGGGAAAGGGAGGGCTGGGATCTGAGCCCCTCGAGGCCCCAACACATGTCAGGGAGGTGACAGCCAGCCAAGGACAAGACTTTAGGGACCACAGTAGATAAAAAATCAATTGACCAAACTATAAACACAAAGAACTCCATCTGTGGGAAAGACTGTGACCTCCTACCCTCCCGCACGTGGGGAAAGCAGTCTGGAGAGCATCCGAGAGGCAGCGCTACCCCTAAAGGTTTATCTTTGGTCTGCATACAGGGAAAATGAAAGCGGGAAGGGGCAGGCGAAGCAGGCAGCAGCCTCCATCTGAGGCAAGTCCCGGGAGTCGCCCACAGAGGGCCCGAGCTGGGCCCGAGCTGGGCCCTCTGACCAGTAGGCCCTCAAAGGGTGCTTCCCTCATCAAGTCAATCAGTCTGCAGGCCAGCTGACCTCAGTCTGGTGTGATGACAATACATAAACTGGGAGGGGGAGGGGGCACGGGGTGGCTACAAGCCCAGCTCTGCCAAGAATTCCTGGTGTTATCTGGGGTGAGCCATTTCCCGCTTGGAGCCTCCGAGCCCCTTTGTTAGCATGAGGAGAACCAGCGCTTCTCTCCCTTCTGACTGAACTCCTTGGGGATGAGGGACAAAGAAAGGGGCTTCATGTGAATACGGGAAGGTTTACATCAGTTTTGAGGAGAAATGAGGAAACTAAAGTGCGCCTCACTGATCAGCCCTCCCGCCCTCCCAGGCCTAAGGGATAAATGCAGACAAAGCAGAGACACTCCAGAAACAGGGGCTCCCTCAGACTCCCAGGCCTCCCCAGGATTTCCATGTCCCCCGTGTTGGCCCATGGTTCTGCGGAGGCTGAGGGAGAGCCCCATCTGGGAAGGACATTAAGTGAGTCTCTGGGCTCCAACCCAGGGCCTTGCTGGTTCCTTGGAGAGTCCCCATCCACCCCGCTGAGCTGCTGCAGAGCTTTGATCACTACTACACGAAGGGTTTCCTGAATGCTTTCCTGAGGACATTGTTCCCCACTACAGAGTCATCAGGGTCAAATTCATCATGGGCTCTGCCTGGCCAGGTCCCACCCAGTGGGGAAACCT